TTTCAGGTCAAACGAGGATGTAGTAACGAGACTGTATATCGAACGAGCGAAAAAGACTGACAGCGGAGAATATACGTGCTCAGTGAGCCAATTTAAAGCGGACGCAATGCACATACCCGTTCTAAATGGTAAGTTAATAATAAAAAAAAAAAAAAAAAAAAAAAATGAAACAAACGAAATAAGCGAAACAAAAATTTATATTACACTTCCTCGTCGTGAATATCTTGGATTTTTCTAAATTATATTCGCTTCTCTGCTTTGTTTTCAACACGTACGATTTACAATAATGAATAGACAGAGACTGAATGAAAAAGAAAAAACTCATTCGTATTTGTAAAATTAGAAAATGTAATATACAGACGCACAGAAATTTAAACTAATGAAATATAAGCGGAGCGGTTATCTAAATTAATCTTTTGCGGTTCGATATGTGTTTCTGACAGATAATGTATAACGTATGCTTGACGTACGTCGATTCGTTTGTGGCGAAATTCGACCGCAAGAAACAGTCTAATGTGATTTTAAAAATATACAACAGTTTAATTAATTTATTAACGCAATTGAAATATAAAAAATGCTAATGTTTATTAAATTGCTTTGTCGCACATACAGGTGAGAAACAGGCTGCTGTTTATCACGACCAATGGAATGCAGCACGTACCAATTATCCCGTGACTTTTGTTACGAAGTTCTGTGCCGTGTTCGCCAACATCTTTCTTTACTTGTGGCAAAATTATTTATTATAAGACCTGACTATTTTACTGTTTTTAAACAGTTGTTACATATCGACGATGAGTTTGTATTGTGTGTAAATTTATAGACCACAGCTTGCGCCATATTTCGATTAAATATTTCCGTACATGTACACACACTTAAAAGTCTCAATATAATGTGTATATATTTTTTATTAATGTAATAGAGGAATGAGATTACATTACGCAGATTGTGGAATATATATATATATACGTATACATATATATATATATCTATGTCAGTATATCATAAATCTACATCAATAAAGTAAAACAACTGTCGATTCTTAAAATAAACATTGTATTCGCTGTCTATTTCACAGTTCTTTCTCTTTTCGTTTTTTGTTATCGCAACTGTGCATTTGAAATGAGTAAATATTATACAATTTCACGCAATCGTTACGCTAAGCGCGCGCTATTGATTTTTATGTATCTCTGACAATGAAACCATAATCCCGATAATACAAGAAGAGCAGATATTCCCGGTAAATGCGCAAGCCAGTCAAAATTCTCTCCCACAGATTTATATTCTCGATGCAATGGCGTTTGATATCGTATTTGTCAATTATATCGATTCTACACGTAAACAACATAATTATGCTCGGTAAAATTTATATTTTATGTTATATAAAACACTTTGTATTAAAAAATATTGTTATCGTTACAATATGATGTTAGATTTTTTATTTTATACATATCGAACGTATCAAAATTATTCTTTCGAATCTATCGATGTTCATTGTTATTACGTCTTTTCCGCGTTGCCGACTGATTCTTTACCTCTGAACTATTTTATATCGATCTTGATTCGCAGACTGAACCGCAGTTCAGTCGTTCAATATTTTCGAAAGTTTGAAATCATGTAAAATACAAAACAATTTTAATAACTTTAATGCAGTATGCGTCAGTTTTGTGTTTTTAATATTACAATGTAAACCTTGTACAATAAGAGTAAAAACATTTCTTTTTCTCTCTCTCTCTCTCTTTATCGACTGATGTAAATAAAGCTCACAAAAGTATCACACGTATTTTCTATAATTATTACATATCAGTAGTAGAAAATTTCTTCTATTTCTCTATTTTACCAGTTTCAGATAAGTTAATATTGCTACTATTATCTGTACAAATGTAAGTTGTATGTATGCGCGTTGCTATGTAAAATACGACAAAATGTTAATAAGCGCACTTTATTAGACAAATTGACCAAACCACGAATAATCGTTCAAAATGTACAAATACACAAACAAAATTTTGGTATTATTATTTATACCTAATTGATAATTAATGTCGTCAATGCTATGCTTCGTGAATAGGTTTGCTTCCCGCGGAAATCTGTTGTATTGAAAGATGATGATACAATAAAGTCTAGCGTGTAACATCGGGGGTATAAAGTTTCAGGAAACGAGTGGCTTGTTAAAAGTTGGTATTGTGTTAAAAGTTTCAACGATATCCATCATCATCAATTATTATTAATAGGAAAATATAGACACCGCACAAAATCTGTCTATCAAACTATACAATACCCGCTGTCTGGTGAGGTGGATGCGTCTCTAAATTAGATGTGCGCGTGTCTTCCACGATATATACTTCATTATTATATTTCGCAACTTTCATTATCCGCAACGTATTCTCGCCATGCAAAATCTCCGGCAAGTAAGTTGAAAGTTCTTTCTAGTTAGGCATATAATGTAGACTTTGAACACACATACACACACGCACACACAGACGAGGAAGTACTCTGCAGAAATTTGAAGGTTTGTGCTGTGCAAACTGCGAAATGTAACGGCGCGAAATAATAAGAGATCCTTTCTCTCGAGCGATTAAACATACTCCGGTCGAGAGATTATTATCAAGTCATTATACGTGAATTTGTTTTTGCGGCACGTGATTAAAGATACCGCATACGAGATGAGATGCTTGAATTTGCTACGAATGACAAGATATCGTTTTTTAATCTTCAGTGCAGAAGAAGTTTGCACGAACACATTAGACGGGGAACGTATCGATCTAAAAGAGGCGCGCGTTCTATATATCTCCGCTCATATTTTTAGTCTTTTAGCTTTAATGGCGTCTTTCAGGTCCACTTAAAAGAATGTTTATAAAATATGATGGGCGTGGCGGCAAACTTGGAGAATGTAATCTGTGGTCGGGAAGGGTAGTGTATGTACGGTGAAGGTATATAGGTTTAGTATATGCACAACGCGGCGACAACCATAAACTAGCTTCGTCAAAGTTATCGAAGAATTTATCGCGACGACGAGGTGGGATACAAACTTTTATAACGACATATAAATCGCTAGTCTTTCGATCGATCGTTTTTCGGCCGGTGGCTTTCCATAATTTACAAAATAAATATCTCTCGTGATCACACGCTGAATTAAGATCCACAGGTTGATGAATACGATATTGTTTGGATTACTACGAAACATGTGCGGTGTCGTTTAATTAATAATAAATTTTTCATTCACGAATCAAAACCGGTTTATTAAATCTTCGCATGTATTCTATTATTGATTGCTGATCGTAACGAACGCGGATGCAAAATAAAACGAAAAAGAGCGCGAGGTAAGCGATAAGCAATGATAGGGGATTAAAGCGGATACACTCTGGCATAAAACTCTCTGCCGGATTCTCGTCTGCATCCGAAATGCACATTCTATAATTAAATTCCTCGGTCGATAGGAATTGGTGAACAATCCAATCGGCAAGACGAAAACGATTCTTTTAACCGTGGATAAAACCAATGTGGGAATACCTAAAATTTCTCTTCGTTGTTTCCCGCGGGCAGAGAAGAATGGCCGGAATAGCAACGACAAATCTATTACGAGAGGAATCTTGCGTTTTTTTTCCCCCCGTTAGAGGGTTTGTTTTTTATGTGCGGGCAATCTCTAAGTGCAATGATTAGAACCAGCGGCTACATCCATGTGCTATTAGTCACCACTTTAAGTGTGAAGAATAAAAATAGATTCTTGGAATTTTTTTTTTTTTTTTTTGTACAAATGTCCCGAGATCGAAATCGTTCGCTTTCACATCGCGTAGCGAAGCTTTCTGCAGTACTCTGCATTTTGAGTACTTGTCATTGTTGCTCCATTTTTTTTTTTTTTTTTTTTAATATTATGACGCACAAGACCGCGCAGAATTCTCATGCAAATTATTCCCCCGCGATGACTTTACCTCGTTTGAGAGATGTCCTTTTTCTCGCAAATTACTTGTCAACCGAGAGAGTCTAACCGAGCGGTTAACGTCTTACTGCAAATTCTGCTCTATATTTTCTCTAAATTACTTCTCGTTGCTCCCCGATTAGTGCACAACTGCTTAGAATAAATTTCAATGGCAGAAAGTTTTAATCGCCGACTCTCAGCGTGTCCTTTCCCTTTGAATATACTCGTGGGACGTAAACTCTGAATATCCTATCTACGATGCATTCTTTATCGCGGACGTTTATTCACGAGGTTTTGCAAGTCATTGGCGTAAGTAAAAATTTCTTACAGATTGTGAGACATCGCTTGAATGAACGCCACTCCTCCGCGCGATCAGCACGTAACAATCACGAACGAGTAAAAAAAAAAAAAAAAACGACAGTGACGCAAATGCCCAAAATATCAACAATTGGCAGAATCCAAGACTGTACACTCACACAATAAATATACCGAGCTGTACATCGTGAAATCTTGATTTCACAATTGTCCCAGCGGCGTTGCGAAGACTTAAATAGAAGTTTTCGAAAAAGTGGCATATAAGAATTGAATCCGCAAGGGGACGAGAGATGACCCGATTTCTACATACTGCAAGAAAGTCTCTTGTGTGTATGGTACGTCGCTTCGGGGATAGGAATAAGAAAACGGTTGATTTATTATCGTTGCTGGCACTTGGTGGGGTTCGAGGACTTTCCTCTTTGCTCGCGCTATTAGAACCGTCGCTATCTCTCGCACGAATTCACCAAAAACCTTTCGTGTATAACCAAAAGGCCAGCTGGCTAGTTTCCGGTCTTCCCGTTTCCTGAGGCCAGGAACGATCGCGATCCTTAATTCTCAGATAGCGTTCGGTTTATTTTCTGAGTTTCCAATGTTACACACACACATACACACACACACACACACACACATACACATCACTATCGGTGTTTTCGCGCGAGCGGAACGGCCTTTTCGTTTCCTTTGACGTTTCTCTTTGCCCGGAGCCGACTTCGTGCGATTTTCGCTCGCGCGGTCGATTTAATATCGACGCGATCGGGCACGAGTTGCACGAGTATGCAACTTCCTACGTCCGGTTTCCTGCGCCGGAGAATTTAATGACGGTCATTGGAAGGTCTTATCTCCGGAATATTCTAATAGGGGACTCGCGAAGTCCGTCTTAAGACGACCGTTCCGCAGAAGGCGGTAACGATCGATGCGAAGTCCCGCAGAGTGCCGACTCTCTGAATCATTAGCGGTTGTCTAACCGCAAACGACTGCAATTTACATTGATTGGACTGCTCTTTACATTTTCATGTTTACGCGCAAGAGCTCTCAGTATACGTGTCGCTTGAGTCGCACGTATTAACTCCGACAGAAATTAATCTGTTTGAAGAGAGATAAATTTGGTCGTGAAATATTAACATCGGCGTGCGTTAACACACACGCGTGTTCAACGCACGCGAAACGAGGATTTATTCGATGTTTGCATTATATCGGATAAAAACTCATATTGTGAACACTATTGGAAGCATCTCTCTGAAAATATGTTTTCTCCCGATGACTCGCCGTGGCTCGAGTATTGATCCGAAGACCCATCGCTCTCGAAAGCCGTGTGTTCTAATACTTAGATGTACGCGCGTCCAAGATAATGTAGTAGTGACGCGCGTGAATTCTGTAACTAATTACAATATTCAAATTTTCCAATCTCCATATCTGCTCATATTCACATATTATACATAGAAATGTGTCTATATGCGCATCATTGTCGACAGGACGCTGTGTATTTTTACATTATTTGTATGTATGCGCGCGCGCGTGTATGATCGCATAAAACGTCAATAAAATGTCAGAACTATGTATTTCACTTTTTATTTGCGTTCGCATTTGTTTAGTTTTTATTTAAAACAAAAAAAAAAAAATA